ACTTCTTTTGTACTATTATGATTACAGACATCAGTAGTGTACTCCATAAAGGCGATATGGTCTCTGGACTGTTTGCATTAACTTCAGTCGCAGTCCAAAAAATTTATTTAATATTTATTTATGTTAATTTAAGAAAAAAACCCATATTTAGCTTCAAAAGATTTTTGAGTGCCCATAAAAACACGACCTATACAACAAACCACTGACTTACAAAACTGTTTAAACATTGAGTTCTTCAGCCTAGACCGTGAAATTGCTTTTTGAAATATAAATTTTATATACCATCTGTTCCATTTAGGATGTCAATGAACTTTAAAACGTTACATGCACGTATATTTCAGTTCTTAAAATAAGATTTGGATTTCGGCATTATGTAATAATATAAACGATTGGTTGTAATATTTTTCTTCTCGATGTTGTGTTGTACAAATGAGTTTTATAAGAATTGTATTTAAAATTACGTATGTTCTTTACAAGCAGGAAAAGTCATTACAAAACATTTTACAGGTGTAACAAATCATCGCTAGCTTCACGCCTGGCCTTGGGCGAAACTTCCCACGATCGACATCAGGTACAACTTGAAAGTTCCCCCACCTACCTGTTTATTGAATAGCTTCCGGGAAGCTTTCTCTAGATCTGAATTTATCTTCTGAGAAATGTGTTTTAAAGCTTTTACGTCACGAGTAGCTTTTCGGACGTCATGATATATATATATATATCATAGACTGTTTAAAATTAAATGGTATAGATAGTTCTCAAAGTGGTCACCAGTTGTAAAATTAAAATAAATAAAAAATATAAAAGGTACTGTACTGTATACTGTTTTAGAGAAAAAACACATTGGACTGTCTGCTGTGTCCACCACGGGGAATAAAACCCCGTATTTTAACGGTGTTTTAGTTATCCAACCGAGGGACGAAAAACTAAATCGTCATCAAATGAAACCATGATGCATATATACATACCTAAACGATTATCTGACAACAATTTGTGTCCGCTTATAAGTGGTGAACTGCTGGACCGATTGTCACTAGACCTAACCTGTACCCCTAGAACCTCCAGGGGAGGTTTATGGGGGAGGACGTTCGGATACAATCCGTATGTCACCCTATTTATTAAAGTCGTTTAGCTTTATAAAATCATTTTCAACGTGTTTGTAAAACAACAAAATGGACCTGATGAAGGACTCGGCATAGAACCCGAGGCATAAAATATTTATAAATATTTTAGGCGGCCTTTTTAGGAGAGTCTGGGGGCATGCCCTCCAGAAATTTTTTGAAGAGTTAATGCTTTGAGATTGCATCTTGAGCCATTTTAACTACGGCTACTGCATACACACAACGTAATGTATTGAAGTAAAAAGAAAGTAAGTTTGAATACATAAATCGTAGCTATACATGCAGTGAAAAAATGGTCAGGTATGGCATTACCGCTTTCTACGGCCGTAATAAAAGTTTGTTTTAGAGAGCAAAGCTACAGTAGGCTTTTTTCTGTTGTAAGTCCTTAAACTTAACACTGACTCACTGGGGAACATTGATAAAAGAAAAATATCAATTATTAGTGTAAAATACACAAAATATTAGCACAAAGACTGGATAACTAGTTTCTAAATTTTCATGTGGCCTTTTCAGTTCCACACAGTTTTCTGGAAAAAACCAATGCCCACACAGCTTATATGATTCCCGATTCTTTGAGTGCGCGTGTGGTTACAAAACAGTTTAACTAGAAGCGATCTTTACGGTTAAAACAAAAATTCAGAACTTCATTTTTCAATAATACAGTTTTCAAACACTCCTTATTTTAGGAAATTTTCGGTCTTGTAATTCCATTTGGCTGATTTTCAGTTCATATGATGGTCAAAGTCTCTTGTATGGAGAAATTTTGTTGTATTCGCATTCCAGGTTTGGACCTTTTATGTTCTGATATTTTTTGTGTTTCTATTTATTTCTGTTTCACTAGCATAGGCATTTTCAAGTGATTACATGGAACGTTATAGGTGCCATGTATTTTTAACTTATTTTATAGTTTCGTTTGTGGTTAGGTTATTTTGAATAATATTGGGTAAAGGTTCCTTACACACAGGACAGAAGGGCCACGTGTTCCCAACTTCTTCCAGTTAGTTTACATACATACACAATTATTAACAACTATGTTAAATTGGCTTCATTCCCACTCCCCATTAATTTGCAATAAAGTCGGGCAGTCATGGTACTGGGGGTGCTTGTAAGTGACAATAACACCATTTTGCTTTAGGAGTCCCCCAGTGGGTCAGCGGTAAGTTTAAGGTCTTACAAAGGTATGATTAGTGGTGACAGAGCGAAGATAACCCATTATATAGCTTTGCGCTAAAACAAACACATCCCATGCTTTAGGATTCTTTCTGTGGGTTCAAACTTTACATTTTGGTTCAAGCACAATAGGTTCTTCATGTTTTTAAAAAGGGATTTTCTGGCTTTTAGACTTGCATTTTCGATAAATTGAATTGGATGTTGCAAATCCTTCAAAATTGAAATGACGTTTTGAATTTCTTGATTTAATGTCGAGAAATGGCATATTCCTTAGGCCTTCCCGAGGAGCACTTAAATGACGATTAAAGTGGTATTAAACGTGGCATTTATTTTAAAGCGCAGTTATTATTAATTAGATGAAGGCCATTTTACCTCATCTTAGGAAACCGTTTTACACAACCTTATATGTAAAACAGCCCCCAAACACAAGAAGTGCATTTTTTCAGTATCTGAAAAATATTTATGTGCAACCTTTCTATTGAATATTTATAATAAAGCATGACTCATTTTAAAACGTCTGGCTTGTTTATGACATACATTCTAATTGGTGAAAACCGTATTCAAATTTAAGGTGGCCGTCTTACACCACTTTCTCTTACTGGAGATAAACCTCAACATTCGAAAGCACTCGAGTTATCTTGATTTTTGATTTACCTAGTTTTAAGTCAATGTACTTACTGTCTTAGAGTCATTGTTTGTTTGATTGATTGTAGTTAAGCACAAAACTACACAATGTATTTACTGTCTTAGAGTCATCACCAAGTAATATAATTAATGCATCCAGTTAGAAAAAAAATCACATTTCTGAATTTTGTTTTTTGTTCCCCTAGTTCAGCAGTAAGTTTGGGGGCTTATAATTCTAAAATTCAGGATTGGAATCC